GGTAGAAGTGGGGTAATTTGAGCCAAACGTCTTGGGGTAAGTTGGGCCAGTGACTCACCCCTCCTTATAATTATAAAGTATTATTTTACTATAATTCTACATTATATATCATTAATTTAGACCAAACATTTTTTTTTGTCCTTTGTTTTGAACTTTTTTTTTATTTTGTTCTGAAAATTTTAAATAGGCATTGTTTCTGAAAATTGTCCATTGAAGTTTTTAAGAAATTGTATTTCCCTGCAACATTTATAAGTGGGATGTTGAGAACAATTAGCCCAGTTCTGTAAGGTCAATTGCAGGTCAATTGATTGATTGATTGATTGATTCATTGATTCATTCAATTTGAACTTTATTTTGTTCTGAAGTTTTTAAATAATAAAAAAATAAATAATAAAACTTTAAATAAAACTCTCTGTTAATATATAGGATCCTCTCTGTTTATATAAAGAATGGAGACTATGTACAGAAGTGCAGAAGAAATAAAAAACAGTATCTCCTAACCAAATACTAATTTTTAAAAAGTTAATCACAATTCATATTTAAACATGCTAGAAAACAATTTACACTTACAGTACAAACTAAACAGCAAACTCTTTTTTTTTTTTAACCGCTCTTTTAAATCTCCCCAAGTCTTTTATTCCCTTTACTGACACTGGTAATTTATTCCATGGAATTGCACTGGTGTATAAAAACATACTTTTCCCAACCAAACTTCTAAAATTACATGGACAAATAAAAAAATAATTTTTTTTAAAAAAAAACACTCTTTTTTCCACAGTTGACAAACCCAAATCCTTAAAACATTAATTGCGTAAATGTGTTCGAGGATGAACTTTGAAAATTATTCTAACTAATTTTCTTTGAGCCTTTTGCAATTGATCTTTCATACCCTGGGAACAACTACTATCCCAGAAAGAGTTAGCATAATCAAAATGGGGTTGAATCAAGGCCCTTACCAATCATTTAAATGAATAAACATCCAATAAGTCAGCTTGCCTTGCTAAAAACCAAATTTTACAACATATTTTCATAAACACCTTCCTAACCATAAAACCACCTGTTAATTTATTATCTATTAAACAACCCAAATAATTTACTTAATTTTTGACTCTATTGCCATGTTGTTAATCTTAACCAAAAAACGTTTAATCCTTTTTTCAATTAATTATAGAAGCAAAGCGAATGGCTTCAGTTTTACCTATATGTAGAGAAAGTTTATTGTCTAGAAACCATTTGGACATCTCTTGTAACTGCAAACTCATTATTTTCTCCAGGACCCCTTTACATTGATGAAATACTGAAATTGCTGCATCATCATTATAAAGAAAAAAGTTCCTCTGAACACACTGCTTTAAGATCATTTATATATAAAACGACAAAAAAAAGGGACCTAAGGTACTCCCTTGAGGAACTCCACAATTGATTGATAAAGGACCAGCCAATATACCCTTAATATCAACTCTCTGCGTTTTCTGCCTTCAAGATAGGACTGAACCCACCTAAGAGATTTCTACGGTGGCCGAGAAGTGCAAAGCAAATCACAATTCTGAAAACAAAATAACAAATTACAAACGCAAATGCAAGTCTAAAAAACAAAATAACAATTCAGAAAGCACAACAACAATTCAGAAAACAGTATAACAAGTCAGAAAACACAACGACAAATCCGAAAACAAATTAACAAGTCAGAAAACACAACGACAAATCAGACAAACCGGAAAAGGTAGGTATAGTTTGAGACAGCGCCATTGGTTTGGGATTACTCACCGCTGACTGGACGAGACATCTGTCAATCAACGTATACAGGAAAGAACCAGCCGAAGAACAGCAGAGTCGTGGTAGAAAGTTCGGAGATGGTATTAAAGTAGCTCAGTTTAAATGTTTTGTTTTCAAATTTGTCGTTGTGTTTTCTGACTTGTTATAATGTTTTCTGAATTGTTATTTAGTTTTTTAGACTTGCATTTGCATTTGTAATTTGTTATTTTGTTTTCAGAATTGTGATTTGCTTTGCCCTTCTCGGCCACCGTAGATTTCTCATCAAAATCAACTGCCTTTAATTTATACAATAAAATTGTGTGGTTTACAGTATCTAATGCCTTCTGAAATTCCAACATAACCATCCCACAAAGTTTATCACTATCAACAGCTTAAAGGCACAATATGTAAGATTTTTGCATTAAATTATCCAAAAACCACTAGAACAGTGTTATATATTTTGCTGACTTGTGTACTTACATTATCCCAAATGTTTCGAAAAATGTTTAAATCCAGAGAAATAAGCAATTTTAACTAGTGACACGGAGCGTGTTTATAGTGTCATTGTGTCGCCTGCCAATGACGTCATAACCCCTCGATTTCCGGTTTTGTTTTGTAGAAAACATGGAAACACCAAAGACGCTTTAATATGTTGTGCGTTTTAATAGACCGGTGACGACTGCACAGAGTAGCATTATAACAGAACTTTCAAATGTATCTAGTATGATAAAACAGCGCTGCTTTACATACGCACGACCGGAAGGAGCGGAAGCGGTCGACTGTGGCATAATAAAAGCTCCGCTGCTTTCGAGCTGTACGTGTGCCACGCTCGTCCAGTAGGGTTGGGTATCGTTTGGGTTTTTTTCGATACCGGTGCCAAATTGATACTTTTAAAATGGTTCCGGTGCCTAAACGGTGCCTGAACCGATACTCATTAAAAAAATTTAAAATTAAAAAATTAAAATTTCCAAAAAAAAATGATGGATTGGCCATTACAACAGAAATAGAGAAAAAAAAAAAACAAGCAGATAAAATTAGTAGTAGCATTAGAATAGAGAGTGCTAGAGTTAGAGGATCAAATGAAGATGAAAGAGATGTGTTTTCAGCCGTTTCTTGAAAATATTAAGGACTCAG